ATCACCAATAATTAACTAAAAGCAGCATACTGGAAACAGCCTGAACTACAATAACACATAAGCAGTGAACAATGATAGCAAGAAAGAAATTAAACCGAAGGCCAAGCTTAGCCATATCAAAAGCGGAACAAAGGCAACTCAAGTACAGAAATTGGGGAGAATTCTCAATAGAAAATAAAATCTCGCACAAAAACAGAAATCGCATACACACGCGCATAACAGCTATAAAATTACACAGACGCTAGTGCGGCAACTGTGGACGCCGCCGATAGAAAACGATTTTCATTTTCCGGTCAACTTGCGAACCAAATTCCAAATCTGTTGCTTTCTGAAGGATTACCGAGGCTTACGCTTTGAATGGATGGTAATTTCACTGCAGCTATTGGGCGGCGGCGGTGGCGAAGGGTCTGGCCGAGAGGTCGAAACTACAATGGAGGGAGGGAATTTGGTGGGAACAGGCAACAGTGCGCGTGCTGCATTTATGAAATCTATAACAACGAAAGCAAAATAAAATAATGTGCAGATTAATTAAATAAGCAAACAGGTTTACCTTTCCCGCCATGGCCCGGCCATGGGAGACGAATGAGGTTTTAGGTTTGAGGCGTGGCCGCTGTTTGAAATACTTTGGATTATCATCCCCCATCGCATAAAGCCAAAATGTGAAAATAGCAAAAATGTTTTGAAACACCAAACCGGTGATGCTACCGGTTTAGGCTATGTTTAATAACATTAATTGATAAACTAGGTGATAACTTATATCTAATTTTTCGAGCTTATATCTTATAGTTGAAAAATAACTAATATGATAAAAGTGTTAGGTGAAATTAGCTGATATGCTAATTGAAATAAAAATTTCAATTAGCTTATTTGGAAAACTACCTAAAGAAACTTATGAAATAAGCTCAACTTATTTTAAAAAAACCCGTCCTATCAAACGAGACTTATTTGAATACAAGATGTTTATAAGCTAATCAAATAAGCTATAAACTAGTTTATTTGGCTACCAAACGTAGCCTTAGTGGTTCACTGACCGGACCAATGGCCGAACCAGTCGAATCATTTAATTAATATATAATTGTTTATTTATTTATATATATAATATATAATTCTATATAGGTCATCGTTAATTTTACTAATATTTGACCATGTGCATTTGCACAAATATAAATAAAATATTAGAAGTTATTTGTATGCATATAATATTAAAATTATAAGTTAGATAATGATATTAAATTTCATTAGCTCGGTGGAAGGACCACTTCAGAACGTGGGCGCTTCTTCGAGACCTCATCCTCTTTGGTCGAATGACTGGTAGGGCGGTCGGATGGTTTAGAGGGAGAGGAAGGCGTCTTTTGTCTGTGCGAGCCGGAAGACACCCTCGATTTCTGAGAAGGCACCTCTTTGGTCGAAGAGGTACCCTTGGTCTTATCGGCAGTGCTGGGGGAATCCTTGCTCGCAGAACCTTTGTCTGAGGACCTTTTGAAGTTGGCTTGGGTAGAAATCACTCTGCATAAATAGAACACAAATTAATACAAATATGGTCGACAACAAAGGAAGTAATAGACACAGAGATGGATGTGATGGAGATAATAATATTGATTCGGGTACTCGCTCGAGCTTGCATGTGAAGGTCGGCAAGAGTCTGGTCGATACGTAAACTAATAAGGGTCTCAGAAAGGGGAGGAGAAAGAATTTTATGGGTAAGTATCCCACAATGGTGTAGGGGGTTATTATCCTTAAGCAAGGAGGTCGAGGCTACAGGGTTAGTATTCCACAGGGCGATCCGGCGATCGAACACAGGGTTTCGAGAAGGCGCCTCAACCTCAAAGGGAAGATCTTTGAGCCACGGGGTAGCGGCCCAAGGATAAGGCTCTTCGAGTTGAATGTACACGAACGTTTGCTTCCATTTGGGAACATTGGAAGGGCGGTCGACTATAAAATAGGCGTTATTCCGGCTCTTCAAATACAAACCCCTAGATTGTTTAGAGGCCAAGTAGCAGTAATGGAAGAATGCCAGGTCAACTTGTCCCATTCGGACAAAAGAGAGGATAATGAAGGTGGTAAGGATTCTGAAGGCGTTGGGGGGTACTGGTTAAGTGTTAGACCATATATGGCACACAGTTTGATCAAAGGTTGGCAAATGGGAAAACGGAGGCCGAGGTCGAACTGCGTTTTGAAAAATGTATAACATCCCTCAGGAGGAATGTCGTACGTATCATCATCATTAGGACGGTAAACTGCAGGCGGGCGACCGTCCTCATCATAGTCAAGCCAATTGATGTTTTTCGACCGCGAGCGAGACGTGGATTTTTTGGAGGAAGGAGTGGTCGAAGGTGAGGCACACGAGAGGACAAAGGGACAAAATCCTTAGGGTCGCGGGCAGATAGAGGGATAGTGTCTTGAGGGTCATCCTCATCCTCGTCCTCGTCGTCCTGGCCAATTGGTCGACAAGAACCCGTGGAGGGTGGAGGAGGAGGAGGCTGGTTGGTAACGTCTCCCTCTGGATTTTCGGCCAGATAGGAGGAAAGAGACACGGCATCATCGGAGGAGCCACTGCTAATCACGGTTGGTCGAATCACGTTGAGAGGTTGGGGTTGGAAGAATTATTGCACGGAGTCGCTCGATAGGCTGGGGGTTGTAGAAGAAGAATGAGGAGGGGTCATGTCCTTCCCACTGCACCGGTCGTTTTCGCTTGAGGTAGTAGAATCTGAGGAAGAAGAAAGAAAATTAAGAGGAAAAATAGAAACAAAAAATTGAGCGTACGAAGGAGGAGGAAGGAGAAGGATTGCGGATGGTACAGTTGGAAGACGAGAATTAGAGTCTCATAAATTGGAAAGAAGCCATAAGTGAAGAGAATAAAATTCGAAAAATTCAATAAACATACAAGGATTAAAAGAACTTACTCATCGTGAACAGTGGAGAACTGGTGGAGAAGACGGAGAACTCAAAGATTGTCGGGCGCTCGATAAGTGCAAAGAAGCCTTGTATTGCGATAGAGTGCGAAAGTGAGGAAACTGTGAAATTTTTTCTAAGTGTTGGTATTTATACGGAGGAGGAATGAATGAAAAGAATCGCCAACCATTGGATCACAAAGTTTCAAGGGTTGCGATGGAAAGACAAGTGAACGTGCAGAAGAATACTAATCGTACGATTAAAGTGGTTTATCTAACTTGATGGGTCTCCTCTCAGATATGGAGTGAATCAATGGAAACAAACTCAGATCTGAAATGAACCGGTGGAAATGAGCTCAGATATGATTCGATCGCCTTCGAACCGTTGCTGGACTGCGAGAACACCTACAAGAACTCAACGCCGGAGGGGTTTCCGGCGTAGAGCCTCCGACGCTCAAGTCAGTATGTGAAAGAGATGAAGAGAGCTGCTCTCAGAGAGCAGCAACAGTAATGGAGGAGAGTATAGAATGAATGGGAGTTAGGGTTTTGGGGTTACCTCAGCTCCTTTATATAGGAGCAAAACAGTTACCTGAAGTCCCCAAAATGCCCCGACCGACTTACTGGAAATGTCCAAAATACCCTGGTCAGTTCGCATTCCGTCCATCTCCTAGTCATCATCTAGATTCCTTTTTATCCTTAATAGCTTCCTTCTTATCCTTGACAGCTTTCTTATGATATGTTGAAGTATACCGAAATCGTCGGGGGTCTAAGAGCCTCGAGACTTTCTCAGTCGACTCGGGACATCAACTCGAGTCGACTGGGTCATCTTCAATCGTCAATAGACCTTGACGCGCTTATCCATCCTTCCAGAGGGAATCGAATTATGCTAGTCGATGTGTGGAAGTCGGCAGAGAGAGACGCCTGGGTCTTTGACCTGAGACATTATAAGGAGTCCGCGGAAAGAGTCGACTTTGGATAAGTCAACTCGGTAATCTCTGAACTGATGATAGTATGAACCGTTATACGATAGTATGGCTATATCATCTAGTCCCCCCCCTCCCAAAAAAAAATTACTCGAAGCGATTTTGAGCTTAAGAGTAAGTTCTGACGACTGAGTGTCTCGCTTAGATCTTTTCACATATCTTGTCGCTTGTCATTGTTCTAAGTCATGTCCGCTTGCTATGTCGACTCGTGAAATGACTTGCCTACCTTATAAATTCCAAATTGATTGGATAAGTCAAAATCTTCTTTTCAAATTTCAAATTTCAAAAAAAGGTCTTGAACACAGATAAGGCGCTTTCTCTCTCCACCGCTTCATATTCTGTGCACCATCTCAACTGCTGGATCTGACTTTAATCTGAGGGCTAGGGCTTCTCTGCTCTCCCTATAAATACTCTCTCCTTTTCTTGTCTTCACTTTTCGCACTTAAAACTTTCTGAACTCTCTGCTTTTCCGGCAAACACAACATCTCAAGCTCTCCAGCGCTCACCACATTCTCCGACGTTCTTCTCAGATTTATCAGGACTTCTTCGTCAGTCATCATGTGTAAGTTTTCCTTGCTTTTCAATTTATTGCTTGTGTACGATTTTTTCTTTCTCTCTTTTTTCATTTTTTTGGGTGATGTGCTGGGATTTTTCATGTTCGTCGGACTTTATGGGATTTTTAGATGAGTTTCTGGCGATTTTTTGCTAGATCTTTAATTGTGGGTTTTTCATTTCCCCAAGTGTTTTCATTCGTCAATCTTTTTGTTGTGAAGGATCGACTCTTCCGCTCCCAAGGATTAACTAGTCGTCGACTTGACATTCATATGTCAAGTCGAATCAAAACAGGAAATATTTTCCTCATTTCTTCTCTCCTTTTTTTTCGTTGTCGAGTCGCTTCACGCGCTTTCC